ACAGAAAGCACCTGCTTTCCGCATCCTTCGGGCCGGTAATCTGCTCTGCGCCGGGATGTTCCCAAGCCCCCGGCGGACACTTCGGCGAAGGTCAACCAATCCGACCTGGCGGCCGAGGAGGTTCCGGAAGCGAAGCGTCAGCGTGGCCCTGATGGTACTGCCGCGCCGGCGGCAGGCGGGGAGCCCGCCAAGGAGGAGGTCTTCACCGCGCTCGGCCTCACGGTCAAGACGGCACCCCTGGCGACGACCTCTCAAAGCGTTGCCCATTACTTGCCATTTGTGGGCGCGCCGGCACGCAGCTGCCCTCAACCAATGGATGCTGCCGTGGAAGCCGGCGGGGCTGACCGGCGCTGTTCCAGATCAGCTGTCCTGACGTGTTGTGGGATATCCAAGCTCGACTTGCGCAAGCACGGCTTGGTGATACCGATCCTTGGTTCGTATTATCGATGGATTTAGGAAAATGCTCTGACAGATTAGATTTGGGAAATAGTGACAAAGTGGCTGAGCATCTTCAACTACCAATATGTACACATACCTCACATAATTATGAAAACCTCACGAAGCTGTTGTTTGTTGACAATCAATCCACGGATGTCTGGCTGCAGGGTGACAATGTTGCTGGCGTTCCTCAAGGATGTCCACTAGCTTTTGTCTTCTGCAACTTAACCTCTGTGCTCTGGCATCTGGCAGTGGAGCAGGCTGTGCCGACGGCGCTTCACTATTCGTATTTAAATGACAGATTCGTGATGGCGCGCTCCTGGGGCGATCCGGAAGCGATCCTCACAGCGACTCAGCGCGTCGACCAATCCATCGGGCCGATTTTGAAAATTGGCAAGTGTGCGCGGGGCGTCGTGGTTCCCAAGGAACGGCGCCCTCTTCGAAAGGTTTTTCGATACTTGGGCATGGACCTGGTTCTGGGCCACGTGACCCAGGCACCTGTTGCAGAGCGCCTGATGAAGGGTTATCGCGACCACTTGGACATCGTCAAGCTTTTGCCGTATAGCCAACGAGGAACCGGAGTTGCTGACGCCACCGCTGCCCTCTGGGCCGAGGGCGGTTTCGCCTACGCCACGTCCCAGATGGCCCAGGCTGTCTCGGCAGCGGCTACGGTCTTGATGGGTCCAGCCACGGCGGGGCGCGTCGGGAAGCGCTCTCGTCCCATGACAGACGTACTGGGGCCTGGTCGTCACAGAACGCACTTACCATCCGTCGTCATCTAAACTGTCGTGAGCCGTTTCTTCCACATGATCTTGGCCGATGTTGTACCTTATCGCGTTTGGGTCCGCTTGTGGCAGCAACGAGACAATCTTCGCTTGGGGCCATTCGTTCTTGTGGCAAGGGCGTATGAGAGCCTTGACATCGCTTGGATAAGTCCGACGCGGTTCGTCTCGGCGACATCGTCCTATGGTTCTAGTATTCGCCAAGACCTACTTGCCCAGGCAAACCGGGCCCAGGCCGGCAATCTTATGAAGGCAGCTTCGCGTTCAAGCTCGTTTACACGCACTCCGAGCTTTTCTCCGGCAGTGCATGTCTGCGCAGGAAGCAGCGCGCCGCCCCAAAGACTTTGCGGGGCTCGAAGGAGGGTTGACTGAGGACCGTGCTGCGCGCGAGCACATGTACGGAGCACCATGGCACTTCGGCGGACCATCGCTTACCACCGCAGGGCTCTGGACGGCTTTGCAGGTTACTCGCGTACCTTTCCATGATCGGGACGATGTCTGTCCTCGATGCGGGGCGGATACAGAGACCGTGGGCCACCGCTTATGGTCTTGCCCTTGCAATGCAGCTGAACGCAATCGGCTGGATCAACTGATTCCTGGGAACAGCTACCCCCAGGGGCTCCCGCCGTGCCTGGCGCGGTGCGGGCTCATCCCTGCTCGTCTCGGACCCGAGTACGATGTGGACCTCACGCAAGCAATTGCCATCTCGACGTACCTGCTGCGCATCAATGCCATCGCGACCCAAGCCCTCGCGGACTTGCGGTGGAACAAGCCTGTCGCCGTCGAGCTGGACCGGCCGCGGGCGCGACCTATCGAAGACATGTACCGTTCTGTCTTACCTCCTCTGCGTCGCCTCAAGGCCGGGGGAGGACATCCAGTGCAGCCGCGAGATGCACATCGAGGGAATCAGCTTCCTCGCCAACCTGCTCCGTCAGTATTTCAGCCCGTGGAGCCGCTAGAGCCTTCGTGCGACGGTTCTGCGCGACTCGGAGGAGATGAAGATGTCTCGGGCTGGGGCTTTACTGTGGCCTCCTCGTCCTGGTCGTCACTCAGGGACTATTGCGGGCCCACCATCCTGGACCCGCACGAGCCAGGATATACTGGTGCACAACATTATTCTAACAATGTTGGTGAACTGTCTGCTTTGTACTTTGCATGCATTGTGTTGGGAACTTCAAAATGGATCGTCGTCTTCAGCTTCATCATCTGCAGTTATCGAGTATGACTCGGAGTATGCGGCTGGCGTGGCCCAGCGGCACATTCGAGGGCGGGCGAACCTCCGACTTGTTCTGCGGCTTCGTCATATGTTTGATCAGGTTGCTGGACATGTTACTTTCCGGAAGGTGGGAAGCCATACTGGGGAGTACCCCAACGAGCGAGCTGATCATCTGGCAGAATGTGGTGCGAATGGTACTTCATGTGGCCCTGATGATGTTCATCACTGGGCGAGCTTATCCAGCTAACTTGTGGATTTCTGTGGACAGGCACCCCCTGTTCGTTTCAGCATACGCCTTGAACAACTTGACCTCCTCGTTACGATTCCACGTTGACCCCCCTGCTGATTGCCAAGCAGCTTAACCTGGCATGGAGTTGCTTGTCCCCCGATCTGCGGCCACTGTTTATGCGAGCGATTGGACTTCTGAGGCGTCTGCGATCCACGCCCTGGGTGGCCACTCTCGAGATCCAGCAGATTTGCAGCGAGATTAAATGCCGACGCCGATGACATTTGCAACTCCGTGCTTGATGTAGCTGCGGCAGGCCGAACCCCGAGAGAGCGCGGAGACAATAATCGATCTAAACTGGGAGCCCGTTGCTGCTCCTGCACCGAGGTGACGCCGCTCTGCCCCCCTCCGGTTGCTCCACCCCCCCCCGTGTGTTCTCGCCCTCCTTCCCCCGCTCGGCCGGCTCGTCCACCGGTCTCCGCTGCTCTCTCTCTGTTGCCCCCCCCTCTGCTGGCGCTTGCCTGCGCCGCCGTACCCGCGCCTGTCGGCGCCGCTCGCTGTTGACATCTGCACGACTGTACCACTGTACCAGAGTCAGCACGCTCCACCAGCCGTCTGGCTAGTTCATCGCACAAGTCTCGTCTAAGCTCCGACGCATAGCTTGACAAGAGAACTGGCTGCAGGACAATTCATAGATGTACAATTATGTAAGATGTATCGCTTGATCTGGTTCACAGTTTGTTGCTGACATGTGTCATCATGGTTGTGGGGAACAAGTGCTCAGGCCACCAGCCGCGGCACCAGAGACCACGACCAGGCCACGGTTCTGTGGCAACTCACGGGAGCCTCCCATGTCATCTTGCTAGGTCCTGCGAATCGGCGCCAATCGGCGCTAATCGACGCTAATCGACGCTACATCGACACCAATCGACGCTAGATCGGCGTTCGTTATCTCATCGATTATCAGATGCTAGCGCAAAGCAACGCACTCCAATGACAGAGTTCAACGGGACCACATGCCGCGACTGTTGGGCCACAGACCACGGAGCCAGAGCCACGAGCGAGCTCGCGAGCTGGGAATCCGTCCCCTTCAGTGGCTGCCGGGAGGGCTGCAACGAAGGCCTGTGCTCTATGGAGGAACAGAAACCGGCATAAACATAATTTCTCTGAGGTCCGCGCGCAATTCTCAGGTCGGCGCTGGACACCCTCCCTTGTGCGCGGAGGGCACCAGGGTCGGCGCCGGAGGCGCCGCCAGCGGCGTCGAGCGCCGATCCGAGAAATCGGTGCGGAGCTCCGAAAGTTTACGTTTGTGCAGGCTTCACCCTGCAGGAGAACCCCGAACAGCACGTCGATCTTGTCGGCGGGCACTGGAGGCAGCCAAGCATCGCACCAAGTCGGATACCAACGGCGGGTCGCACCGACCCGTTGCCATGCAAGGCGCGGGGAAGAGGAATGAGAGGCACGGAAAAACGGCGACAGGGTAACCTGAAGTCATCCTCTGCCTCGCCCTTCCCTTCCTCTTCCAGCTCCTCCTCCCCCTCATCCTCCTCCTCCTCCTCCCCCTCCTTCCCCCTCCCAGCTCATCAACCCCTCTCCTTATAGACAACTCCTCCCTGTCGCACCACGAAAGTGGCAGCAGGGTGGGCCGGGCGTTTCGCCTGACACTCACCATGTATGGTCCTGAGGCTTGAAAGTTAAGGGAATTTCAAAATAGGTCTCCCGCCCTAGCGCCGAGCGCGTTCGTCTTCAAAAGTTGCAGGAGCTTCGCGGTTGGAGGGCGGGTGGTGTTCGAAATGTGGCTCCGCACGTAGCGCCGCACAATCCTCTCGAAAGTTTGCACCAGTGTAACTCGTGGAGGGCGGGTCGTCTTAAATGTCGATGTCGCCTCAGCGCCAGGCACATTCGTCGCAAAAGTGTGCAAGAGCTTCACGCATGGAAGGCGGGTCCGTACGAAAGTGTGGCTCTCGCCTGAGCGCAGCGCGCATTCGTCTCAAAGGTTTGCAAGAGTTTCACGGATGGAGGGCGGGTGGTGTTCAAAATGTGACTCTGGTCTTAGCGCCGCGCACAATCCCCTGCAAAGTCTGCGAGAGTTTTCCTGGTGGCGGGCAGCTCCTTTTCAAGATGTGGCCCTCGCCTTCGCGCACCGCGCACACTCGTCGTAAAAGTGCGCAAGAGCTTCACGGGTGGATGGCGGTTCCTTGTCAAAGTGTGGCTCTCGCCTGAGCGCCGCGCACATTCGCTCTAAACGTCGTACTGCAAATTGTTGATGCGTCTTGGGTTGACACTGGTCCTCCTCCTCCTCCCCCTCCTCCTCCTCCTCCTCCGCCCGAGGCCGGTCCGCGCTGCTCGCCACGGCGATCTTCATGCCCGGGTACCTGCCGTCGGCGTGACCCTGGAGGGCGACCAGGGACCTCGGCGGCGGCCGGGTGCAGCGGCGAGGCCGCGGCCCGGCCGGACAGAGCCTGAGCTCCGGGCGTGTTCGCCCGGATTCGAGGTTCGCTGTGCGCAGCGGCGCTGCCGGGCGCTTTCGCGCAAAGTGTTCGTCGTTTCCGGTGTCTGGGGGCCGTCGCTGGCCGGGCAACGGCACCGCCCGAAAACGATCCGGGTCGAGAAACCGGCTGTCTTGAAAAACAACAGGATGTCGGAGGTCTGGGTTCGAGGCTCCAGGTCTTTGATCGTTTTCGTCGGTTCTCGGCGGCCTCCCAGCCTCGGGTTGCTCTCCAACGGCTGCGCCCTGTCGCGGGCGTTCCCTGGGTGCCCGGATCATCCCGAACGGCCGCCCAAAGGCCCGAGCTATGACCCGAAAACAAAGCCTCCTCTCGGTGGCATTGTGATTTTGTCAGCTATGACCCGAAAACAAAGCCTCCTCTCGGTGGCATTGTGATTTTGTCAGCGGGCGATCTCGCCCAACTTTCGTGCCCCAGGACCATGCACAGATCTATCCTGCTCGAAGAGTGCCCCCAGAAGCTCGGGTCGGGAGCACCACTCTCATGGTTACTCGCGATGCTGCAATGGTCGGCAACGTCGGATCTCGGGGGAGCGGGAGGGGCGGTATGCCTTCTGCTGCTGCTCCACCTCCTCCTCCGCCTGCGCCTCCTCCTCCCCCTCCTGACTCTCCCTCTCCCCTCCTGCGCCCCTTCCCCTCCGCTCCGCGCCCACCCCTCCCCCCTGTCGTTCTAATGAAAATGATAATAGTAATGTTAATGATAATGATGATAATAATAATAATAGTAATAATAATAATAGAAATAATGATAATAATGATAATAATGATCATAATGATAATAATGATAATCATGATAATAATGATAGTAAGAATAATAGTAATAAAAATAATAATCATAATAATAGTAGTAGTAATAATAATAATAATAACAATAATAACAATAATAATAATACTACAACTAATAATAATAACACTTATACTAATACTAATAATAATGATAATACTAATAATAATAAGAATAATAAGCTTAGTTTGCATTAGTAGTCTTAGCATTCGTGTTCGTATTTTCCAAATCTCAAGACCGACCGCCGTCCCCTCCTGCCCCGTCCCCCCCGCCTCTCCGTCACCCGGAGGCGGCGCCAAGGGCCCAAGGGAGCACCCGAAGCCAGCTGCCGCCACCATCCGCGGCGGCGAGGCTCGGGCCAGAGCTCCGAGGCTGGAAGTCCCCCACTCTGCCAGGCACCCCCACCGCCTGCCGTCACCAGAGGTCGAGGCGGGGACTCTGAGGTCAGCGAGGTTAGACAAGCGCGTCCCACTCTTCTCGTTAAGTAGCTACACGCAAACCGCCTGGATCCGCCGCGGGGGATTTACGAGATACACTAGATCGAGTCGAACATGTGATTTTCGAACGTCTGCGAGTGGGTATTTTGCGAAAAGAAATACGGGCTCGGTGAGAGGTTGAGGGGGGGTGCCGGCCCCCGATGTTCTGCTGTCGGCGAGAGTCGGCGGAGGAGAGATGGGGAAGGGGCGCTCTGTGGATCACTGGTTGTGAAGTAACTTCTGGGAGGTCTTCGTAAGAAACATAATGAAGGGCTATCGAGCCAAATTGAGAGGCCGTTGAGCCGCTGGATGAAGCCCAGGGCTAGGCAGGATTTAGCAGGATAATACCGGACTGAGCGAGATGATGCCGGATTTGGCTGGTTTCGACCACGGATATGCAAGCGCCGATGCTGAAGTCAGGCTCCCACGAGTTGCTTGCTAACAGTAGGGAGAGTCGCACGGACCTGGCGGCCTCCAAGAGAAGAGGCGTCAGCGGCGCTGTACGAGACGGGGTATGCAGAGGGCCGCCCAAGCCAGCCAGGCCGCTCCAGGCACGTCTACGACCCCGACCCGGCATGAAGCGAGATCCTGTCGAAGCCGCTCATCACTCCGATGACGCCCTCACGCTCGCCCGCGGCGCCCCCCACTCCTGCCTCCTCGAAGTGCGATCTGATTGCTTGGAAGCTCCTGCAGAATGAGGACAGCCATCGCACGCGCCCAAGGTATACCGACTTCGGGGACGCCCGCTCTTCCAGAGATGCTGGCCTCGCTGTACACACTACGCCGCGTCGTGACGTGCAGCCGAATATGACCTCGGGAACGGCCATCCGCTCTTTCGGAAGCTCGCCCAGCTGCAGCCGTTGCACCGTGCCGTGGTGTACAACCAAGCTTGAGACCACCGAGGCCACGAGGGGAACCTGGCGTCCCGCCCCCCCCCCCTCCTCGGAGCAGTCATGCCCGCCGCGCTAGCGGCGGTGAGGAGATGGCCCAGCCAACTCCAGCCCGTCCTGCTCTCTGCGACTCCTCGCGAGACGTCGGCGCGTCCACCCCCCACAGAGCTCGAGACACTACAGCCATCGTGGCACCATGAACAATACGAAACAAAGAACGGAGGACGAGACCCCGGCCACAAGTAGGTTCCCTGACCTGGATCTCAGGAACGGCCGAAAACCAGAACCCCACCTGAGCCCAGCGATCCCTATTTCAGCGTCTTGACCGTGCCTCATGGCAGCAGCTCCCCTGCTTTTCTAGAGGCCTCCTGGATGGGTCCGAATTCATGAGGTCGGAGGATTGCGCCGCATCGCTGATGCATCGGCGATGCATCACCGATGCATCGGCGCCGTCGGCCTGGGGAACATCGGGCTCCACATCGAGCCGCATCGGCGATGCATCGTCGATGCGGCACGATCCACCCACCCCTTCTACTCGGACCCCATCTGGAAGGCCTAGATTCTCGTCCGCCCTCCCTCGAGATCGGCGACTCTGCCGAAATGCTGGCTGGCGCACCAGTCCGCGGCGCGCTCGTCGCTTCCCCTGGCAAGCGCAGTGGCGGACAAGCGGGGCGGAACGACCCGCATCGCCTGGGCTTGCGAGAAAAGGTCTAAGCTTGCAACCGCAGCGGGCTGGGCTGGCCTTTGACACAATCAAAAACGGTCCTCGCCCCTGCCGTTCAGGTCTCCAACCACCTTATCCGACTCGCCAGGAATCGCTTGCATCTCGAACATCTCCTTCGGGGAAGCCGCCGCAGAAGGTACTGGAACAGAGAGGGGAGGGACAAGGGAGTTGGAGAGCATGACTCTGTCCTGAAGAGATACCGGACGCATGATCTCGAGCGCACTCTCACACACCAGATTCGCGAGCGTTGCTGCTTTCTGCAAGACTTCGGCAGATTGATGCACACAACTGGCTCGATATTCTCTGCATGCCGCCAACGCGTTTCGAGCTTCGCGCTCTTCGAGAAGCCGCGCAGGGGTGTCAGCCAGCCGAGGAGACGACCCAACGGCATGGCAACATCTGACATCCCATCGCAGACGCCGAGGAATATACGCTCCGCTCTGGCATGTCAGCGGCCAGAGGGTTTCGGTCGTGATGCCGAAACGCTTTCCCCCAGACACGCCCTTCGTGTGTGCCGACACGGCCGACCGCTTCTTGAAAGAACGTGTAGGCCCCTGGACGCCGCCCGCTAGAGATCTGTCCACTGGCCAACTCATCGAGCCAAAGACGGCAGGGCCTGATGGCTTGGAAGCGGTTGGGGGTCTACGCACGCTGAATGGCAGATGTTTCATAACGACCTCGTTTTGTTCCCAACCCTCCTTGGTTGAGCATTCGTTTTGAATAGAGCACGGCTCGCACGTCCTTCCTTCTTTCCTTCCTTCCTCCCGCCTCCTCTCTCTTCCTGCCCTCTCTTCGTCGTCGCCGGGGGGCTGCGATCTGCGAAACTGTCGCCACTTTCGAGGGCTACTGGTGGGTCCAGCGGAGCGAGGCACCGCGCAGACCGAGGTTGAACTCGCCGTGACTGGGGCGCTGCGATCTGCGAAATTGTCCCCACTTTCGACGGCTGCTGGTGGAGCCAGCGGAGTGAGGCACCGCGCAGACCTGAGCGAGACCTCGCCGTCTCTGAGCGTAGACCTCACCGAGGGCGCGCCGCTGCATGACCCCAGGGGGTAGAGGGGGGGACCCCCCTCCCCTTTCCCCGATCCGTCGTCGGGGATCCCCCCCCCCTTTCCCCCTTTCCCGGTCCGTCGTCGGGGACCCCCCCCCTCACCCCCTTTCCCGGCCTGTCGTCGGGGAACACCCCTCCGCATTTCAAAAAGGGGAGGAGGAGGGTCCGACAAGCCCCCCCCTCCCCCCCTTGGGCCGCCAAATTCGAACCCCCCCCCCTCCCTTTCGCCACGGCGCCCCCGGTCTCCAGAACCCGACCCCTACCGCCCCTAACACTAATCCTCACCCTTGCCCTAACCCGTAACCCTAAACCCAAACCCAAACCCTAGCCCCAAGCAGTACTCACTACTCATTACGCACTACTCACTACCCACAAGTCACTACTCGCTACTCACTACGCACTTATCGCTACTCGCTACTCACCACCCAAGACTCACTACCCACGACGCACTACTCACTACTCCCTACTCCCTACCCACTGCTCACTACTCACTATAAACTACTCACTACTCACTACCCACTACTCAATACTCACTACTCACTAAACACAACTGGCTACCCACTACTCGCTAATCACAAACCACTACTCACTACCCACTAACCACTATCCACTACTCACAGTTCACTACTCGCTACTCACTGCCCACAACTCACTACTCACTATCCTCTATTCGCTACTCGCTACTCCCTACTCCCTACACAGTACTCACTTCTCACTTCTCACTACTCGCTGCTTCCTACGCCCTACTCGCTACCCAGTAGGCACTGTTCACTACCCACTACTCACTACTCACTACGCTCCCACTACTCACTACTCACTACTTCCTACTCCCTCATCACTACTCCCAACTCAGTACTCACTACTCACTACCCAGTACTCAATACTCACTACTCACTAAACACTACTCACTGCCCACTACTCACTACTCACTAAGCACTACTCACTACCCATTAACCACTATCCACTACTTATTACTGAGAGCTCACAATTCACTACTCACTACGCACTGCCCAAAACTCACGACTCACTATCCGCTACGCGCTACCCAATAGGACATATCCACTACGCACTACGCACTACTCACTACTCACTACTCCCTACTCCCTACTCACTAGTCACTAATCGCAAGTCGCTACTCACTACTCACTACTCACGACTCACTACTCACTGAATTATACTCGCTACTTCCTACTCACTACCGACTACTGATCCCCACTTCTCGCTTCTCACTACTCACTACTCACTACTCCCTACTCACTACTCACAACTCACTACTCACTACTCACTACTCACTACTCACTACTCACTACTCGCTACTCCCTACTCGCTACGCACTACTCCCTACTCGCTATTCACTACTAACTTCTGACTACTCCCTCCTCACTACTCACTACTAACCATGCCCTACTCGCTACTCACAACTCACTACTCGCTACTCCCTACTCGCTACTCCCTACTCGCTACTCGTTACTCGCTACTCACCACTCACTACTCACTACTCTCTACTCACTACGCACTACCCACCACTCACTACTCCCTACTCACACCTCGCTATTCGCTACTGTCTACTCCCTCATCCCTACTCCCTGCTCACTACTCCCTATGCACGACTTACTCACTACACACTACTCACTCAGTACTCACAATTCTTTACTCACTACATTCTTCCCGCTACTCACTACCCACTACTCACTATCTACTACTCACTAATCTCTACGCGCTACTCGCTACTCACTACTACACCCATTACCCACTACTCACTACTTCCAACTCACGACTCACTGCGCACTACTCACTATCAAATACCCACTACTGACCAATCGCCACTCAAAACACTACTCTCTACTCACTACCCGAAAGGCCCCCTCCCCAGCCCCCTGTTCGGCGCAAAGAACCCCCCCCCGCATTTCCAGCGCCAAGGGGTGGAGAGGGGGAGGGGTCCGGACCCCCCCGCCCCCCCTTCAAAGGAGGGGGGGGGGGCGGGGGGGGAGGGTCGGACCCCCCCCCCCCCCAAAAGGGGGGGAGGGGGGGGGTCGAAAATCTCATCCCCCTTAGAAGGGAGAGAGGGGGAGGGGGTTCTGCGAGCACACCTCCCCTTTAGTGTATTCAGGGCCATCCACTGGCGCGCTTTCGACCTCACCGTCGCTTGGGGGGCTGCGATATGCGAAACTGTCGCCACTTTCAAAGGCTGCTGGTGCCAGCGGAGTCAGGCACCGCGCAGACCTGAGCGAGACCTCCCCTTCCCTGGGGGGCTGCGATCTGCGAAATTGTCGCCACTGTCGAAGGCTGCTGGTGGGTCCAGCGGAGTGAGGCACCGCGCAGGTCTGAGCGAGACCTCGCAGTCCCCAGGGGGCTGCGATCTGCGAAATTGTCGCCACTTTCGAGGGCTTCTGGTGGGCTCGCCACTTTCGAAGACTGCTGGTGGATCCAGCGGAGTGAGGCACTGCGCGGACCTCGCCGTCCCTGGGCGGCCATGTCATGTTGTTGCTGCCCCGCCGACGTTTCAAGCCCCTTCTCCTTTTGGACCTTGCGTTTTCCTTAGTGACTTAGGGGTTCACTTAGTTACTGATCATTTTTCCCTTGATTGGGGACCTGCGAACCTTTCGAATGCCGCTCGCAGAAGTAGATGCGTCCATGTCACGTCGCCACATTCTCGTCAAATCTCCCACGCTACACCTGCCCCGCATGGCGCAGGGGCTGGGTACGTCGCCAGGGTAATGCTGACGGTCCTGGGGCGCATCGGAAGCACCCGGAAACCGAAAACGGCCAAAACCGGCCGCTCCAATTTCTGTCGCAGCCTGGGATCTCTGGGCCTAGGCACTCGTCGGCGCTGTTCCACCGTCCCGAAGGTTGAGCAGGGGCCGACCGTCCAGGCATCCCTATAGGCCTACCACGACATGCTCTCGGAACCAACATGCCTCGAGAACAAAACAAGATTCTTAAAACGTAAACCCGATGTACTCAAACCAAACCAGGTCAGCCAGAAATGTTCTAAGAACCTTGCGTGCAAACCACAGCAAATACTAGAACATTCCTTGGCGGGCCTATAAGCGAGCTGGGACGCTTCGCCACTGCTCGTGAAGGGGCCTTGTCCCACAAGCAAGCGTCCAGGTCGAAGACGCACAGCTCCGGGTACGGACCCCCCTCGGAGCGGCGGGGCGGCGCGGTCCAGAGCATCCCCCGAGGGCCCCTCCCGCCTCGGCCTCGCAGCTCCCCGCCGACGCTTGGCCGCCATGGAAGGAAGGGCTCCCGAAGGAAGCGGATCCTGGACCCCACGGCGTGCTCTTCGCCGGGCGACCGGCAGGGGCCCCATGGAGGCCCAAAAGGGGAGGGAAGAGCTCGAGACACCCTTCCCTCTGGACTTCTTCTAAGAGGGCAAAGCAAAAGCCGTCTGGAAACCGCACCCAAGGGAACAATCGAACAGGGCAGGGCTGTTGAGCAAACGCCCACGACGGTTTCGCAAACGCCAACGATGGGATTCGCGATAGTTGTTCCTCCCTCGAATATTCTTCATGGTAAACCTGGGTCCCTCCCGAAGTTCACCGTGATGCTTGCGGCGTTCGCCGCGAAGTCCATCGAAGACCGCCCGGGCCCGTACCATTCAGATCTGTATGTATGCGTTTGGAGCGGCAAGCAGACAGAGAGACAAACTGATCCATACATACAGGCGTGCATATAAAATCAGACTACATATACATACACACTCACACCTTTTGTAGAAAGACAGACGGACATACTGACTGACTGACTGACTGACAGACAGGCAGGCAGGCGGAGACAGACAGCCAGCCAGACAGACAGACAGACAGAGACAGACAGCAGACCGACAGGCAGGCAAACAGAGAGACAGACAGGAAGACAGACAGATGGACAGACAAACAGACAGGCAGGCAGGCAGACAGACAGGCAGGCAGACAGACAGACGCACATACACACAGACAGAGACAGAGACATAGACAGAGAGAGAGAGAGAAAGAAAGAGAGAGCGAGAGAGAAAAGGACCGACAGAGAGTAGGGGGGAACAGAAAGAGAGAAAGAGAGAGAGAGACACACACAGACGGAACCAGAAACATCTAGAAAGAAAGAGCGATATCATGCTCAAGGCGAAAAAGATGTCGTCGACGAAGGTGGTTGGAATGGAGAGACTAATTAGGATAAGGAGAGACATTACAGAAGAGACGTGCAGAAGAGAGAAAAGAGTCAGAGAAAAGAGAGAGCGAGAGACGAGAGAGAGAGAGATAAAAAAAAGGAGAGGGAAGGAGAGAGCAGGCGAATGAGCGTGAGAAGGATCAGGAAACAACTAAGGTGTTGAGACATAGAAGTGTCAAATGCCATGGTACCAATTCGCCGGCCCAACGGGCCAGAGGCGTGCTAAGATCTCCGGTAATTGGTAAGCAATATTTCTAGTTCGCGCGCGCGGGGCGGCCCCTGGGGGTCCCTGGATCAAAAGTACCCCGGGAGGAGCCCGGGACACGCCCGGGACACGCCCGGGACACGCCCGGGACACTCCCCCAGATCCTCCAGGATCGCCCCAAGAGGGCCCCAAGAGGCCCCCAACACAATCCAAGAGAGGTCCGAGACGCCCGAAGATCGCTCCACGGCGCCCAAGATGGCCTCCAGACGGCCCAAGACGTCTCCAAGATGACCCAACAAGCCTCCAAGATGCCCCAGGAGACCTCCAGAGCACTCCAAAGAGGGCCCCAAGAGGCAAAAACAATGTTTTTTCTTTGGTTTTGGACAGATTTGGGCGTTTCAACCTTTTCGGTTCCCCGACGCCCCTAAACGGCTCAAGAAGCCTCCAAGATCGCCCCAAGAGGGCCCAAGAGGCCCTCAAAAGGGCCCCAAGACGGCCCAAGACGGCTCCAAGACGGCCCCAGAGGCCTCCAAGACGGCCCAAGAGGGCCCCAAGAACGCCCCCAACACGGTCCAAGAGAGGTCCGAGACGCCCGAAGATCGCTCCACGACGCCCAAGATGGCCTCCGGACGGCCCAAGACGTCTCCAAGATGGCCCAAGAAGCCTCCAAGATGCCCCAAGAGGCCTCCAAGAGAACTCCCAAGAGGACCCCAAGAGGCAAAAACCTGTGCTTTTCCTTTGGTGTTGGACAGATTTGGGCGTTTTAACCTTTTCGGTTCCCCGACGCCCCTAAACGGCTCAAGAGGCCTCCAAGATCGCCCCAAGAGGGCCCAAGAGGCCCTCAAAAGGGCCCCAAGACGGCCCAAGACGGCTCCAAGACGGCCCCAGAGGCCGCCAGGACGGCCCAAGAGGGCCCCAAGAACGCCCCCAACACTACACAGCTCCCGACGCCGCAGCTCCACACTGCAAACGACCACTCGGACAGGCGACCACGGTGCGACATTATGGGCCGGCGGAATGAGCGAAGCGATTAAATAAGTATGGCATCGATGTTGAATTGTTGATTAGCTCGGAATGCGAAAACAACTAGCGACTCAGAGACTGCGCTGAGGACAACAATGTGAAGGAATCGGTTGGAGAGATGAATCACAATGCAAGGAAGCGACACGAAGGGTCGGCAGCCGACTGTCGACAAAACTGGATGGCGCAGCCGCATTCGTCATTCCGACCTTGGCCTTGATTTGGGCCGTCAGGGCAATAGCCGCCCTCACTCACCTCAGTCGACCTCGTCGGCCCACCCGTCCTCGCCCATGACCCCTCCTCTGGAATATCGAGCTTGAGGTTATTCCTCGTCTATGTATTTTTGGGGGGTCGACATCGCGACTCGAGCTCATTTCCTGTAGTTTTCTCTTGAGAACGCACGTACGATCAGACATCAGAGGTGCAGGGGGGCATTGGGCTGGCGACGGTCTGTACGATGCTGCGGCGTCATGTGCACAAACTTCAGAATTAATCATCGGCACAGGCTATTCCAGCTCTGGTGACCGATGCGCGTGTCGCTCCCTGCGTCCTGAAAAGCGCACGTAGAAACCCCGCCGCCAAAACACATCAAGCGAGCTCTCCCAATGTGCGCCGGGTCAAAAGAATCCTATACAGCCCAGGGCCACACCAAGGCAGTCAACAGGCATGCCCGCGAGCTGGGTGCTGCCAAACTTGGCGCCAGAATCCCACAACCTGGTTAGGGTGCAGGTGGGGTGGGGACATTGTGTTCCAACCCCTTCATTCTCCTTCGTGGATGGGCCCATCACTACTCCTCATTAATATACACCCCCTCCGCACCCGACCGGCGACAAATCAGGGCCAATGACGACCCGCCCCCCCCGCGCCGCATTCCCTGTCCAAAAAACGATGCACAATATACTTCGCGGCCAAAGATTGGGTCATGTTCGGGGGGTGGCACGAGCATGTTGTTCCCTACCTAGGCTCTGCCTAGAAGGGTTCTTACTCGCTTGGCTTAAAGGGGCCGGGCAGTGGAACGAGCCCCAGACGGTTCCCCCAGTCCCCTGGGAGCCAAGCAAAAGCAACAGCAAAGGTAAAAGCAAACGCGCGGTTCCCCCAGTTGCGCTCCCTGGGTGCCGAGCAAAAGCAAAAGCAAAGGCAAAAGTGAAGGCAAAAGCGAAGGCAAAGCAAAAGCAAAAGCATAGCATAGCATAGCATAGCATAGCATAGCGCAGCATAGCATAGCGCAGCATAGCATAGCATAGCATAGCCTAGCCTAGCCTAGCCCAGCATAGCATAGCGCAGCATAGCATAGTATAGCATAGCATAGCATAGCAGAGCATAGCATAGCATAGCATAGCATAGCATAGCATAGCGCAGCACAGCATCCACGATTGCTGCTGCTATATATATATATATATACTTATATGTGTGTGTGCGCACGTATGTTCCATGCATGTTGTCCGTCTGTGGGCCATCTTGATGAGCCCTTAGTGGGGCAGCTTGAGCCCTTAGGATTCACGAAGGTTTCGCACATAGCACCGGCCGGGAGACGTGAAACCCGACGTATTATCGCATGTCCTAAATGTCTTTCTATCTATGCCAACATATGTGTATATATATACATAACACCCATGTGGAATGCTGCATGTGTGTGTGCGTGTGTGTGGCGTCGGCGGCTCTGGCGCTACTACTACTACTACTACTACTACTACTACTACTACTACTACTACTACTACTACTACTACTACTGCTACTACTACTACTACTACTACTACTACTACTACTACTACTACTACTACTACTACTACTACTACTGCTACTACTACTACTACTACTACTACTACTACTACTACTACTACTACTACTACTACTACTACTACTACTACTACTACTACTACTACTACTACTACTACTACTACTACTACTACTACTACTACTACTACTACTACTACTACTATACTACTACTACTACTACTACTACTACTACTACTACTACTACTACTACTACTACTACTACTACTACTACTACTACTACTACTACTACTACTACTACTACTACTACTACTACTACTACTACTACTACTACTACTACTACTACTACTACTACTACTACTACTACTACTACTACTACTACTACTACTACTACTACTACTACTACTACTACTACTACTACTACTACTACTACTACTACTACTACTACTACTACTACTACTACTACTACTACTACTACTACTACTACTACTACTACTACTACTACTACTACTACTACTACTACTACTACTACTACTACTACTACTACTACTACTACTACTACTACTACTACTACTACTACTACTACTACTACTACTACTACCGCTATTGCTACAACTACGACGATGAGGAGAAGGAGGAGGACGGCGTTTACCGCCCCTACGAATGTTGCTTTCCTAGAGGCTCCAACTCCTAGGTAGGGTCGCACTGGGATAATATTGTTTTTTGGAAAAGAGACGGGGGTGCCAGCATATGGCCTGCTGTGCGCAGGGCCACAATCCGCGTCAAAAAGCAGCACTAACTGCACTTCGCGGCTAAATCTAGATTATGCGAGGGCACCCCGCGATCATTTCGTGTTGGTTTTGACAGGGACGGCGGAGGGGCTAGCAGATTGCCTGCTGTGCGAGGGCCCACCAGACATCATGATGGCAACTCAGCAGCGATTAAGCAGCGGTTTTCGACAAGGACGGCGGGGGCCGATGCGGCGCACCTCGCCCCAGCGTCACACACCTGGGGTCTGTGCTGGCTCCCAGTGTGGCTGTCCACCCACAGACGACCGCTGAATATGCTGAGACTCGGGTACAAATCACGTGTTGGGGGGCAGGTAGGAGTGAGACAGACAGCTTGCTTCTGGACGAGGTGTCTTGGCCCCTCCCCCTACCTCCTCCACTGGGTCTGGACGGGGGATGATTGCGCGGGTCGTTCGAGCGTCCAAGGTCGTCCAAGATAGTCCCCAGGGGCCCCCAGGTGGCACAATAGGGCCTCCAACAGCGCACAAGATGGCTCAAGATGGCCTGCAACATGCCTGCGAGAGGCCCCCAGACCAGTCCAAGACTGCTCCCAGTGGCAACAGAGCCTCGCAAGAACGCCCCCCCCGAGCAAATCCCCTTCAAAACCTAAGGAAACAAATAAATTGTCCGTCTCGGCTTCTCGGTTCCAACTGGCCGTTGAGGCCACCAGATGGCTCCAAGGCCGCCAAAGAGAACCCCAGAGGGCTCCAAGACGACTCAAGAGCGCCCACGAGCGCCCTAATGAATACCCCGACAGGCAATTTTGAGAGGAGCCCGACGAAGCGGCGCTCAGTGAGAACCCCACCCTTACTTGATCGATGACCTCAAGATGGCCCAAGTAGGCCCCAAGAGATCCGCAAGAGAGCCCCAAGAGAGCCCCAAAGGCCTCCAGAATATCCCCAAGGACGCCCCATGTTGGCCCAATTAAGCTGCCAACAGGCTCCCATTTCGAAGATCCCCGACAGCATGTATGGTTGACTCCTGGGTCTGCTCAGAATGATCCAGAGCTTCGGCTTGACGGCTGCGCCCCACCTCTATTGTTCTGTTGCTCGCTCCTACACTTCCGTGATCGAGGCAGCTCGCCTGAGCACCGCCTCTGGATGGGCCGGTGGGGATCTGCGAAGCGTCAATCGTTTCGCTCGTCCCAGACCAGGGGGGGGAAGTAATCGGACGTGGACGAACACGGCTTAGCGCAAACCTGGCTCAGCCAATTTAGGAAAAAAACTGCGCTGCCTTTTTGGGGGGCTTACCAAACCCGGCTCAGCCAATACGAAAGGCTACCTCCAGGACCACGAGCTGCTCCCAAGCCCAGCTCAGCCAAACCCAGCGTCGCAGGATCCTGCAGGATCCAGCGATCTGGCTGAGCCCCGTTTGCGCTGAACCCCGTTGCGTGCCAGCTGAAAGAAGGCGGACAAATCCGCTCAAGATCAATCCCCACACCCCTCCCGAGAACGAAACTGACTGGTTTTCCGAGCCGCCTCCAGCCATGGCGACGAGGGGGGCCCTTTCTCCCCCCGTTCTGCTGGCCGGAACCACTGCCGGGCCACCTCAGCCCCCCAGGCCGGCTCCAAGAAGGAAGGCGGGAGAGGAAGGCTGGCCCCCTCAGCCCAGGCACGGCGACATGTCCAGGCGGACCAGAGGAGGTCGGAGCAGGGCGAGCCGAGACAGCGGCAGCGCACACTCGGCCCCCGGACCCCTCGCGGGGCCCAGACGCCCCAGCTTCCCGAGCTGCGCCCAGCTGTGGCCGCGAGGGGGGCCCCCTCAAAAGGTCGGCTATACTGCTGCCTCGATAGCCGCCCTCCTCCGAGGAGCGTCGGCCGCTCAGCCCAGCAGCGGCGACTTGTCCACGCCCCTCGCCGCCGGCCTGCAGAGCAGCTCGGACGCCCTCGAGACGGCGCTGGCCGCCACGGCGACCGACAGCAGCGCGGTCGACAGCGCCGCCGCCCAGCCTGCCGCGGACCACTCCGCCGGCGGCGGCGGCTCGGGCTGGACGAGGCGGTCCCCGACGTCGCTGAGGCGGTCGGCGATGGCGCCGACGCCGAGCGCCAGGTGCTTGCAGTCTCCCCCCCCGAAGAAGTTCTTCATGCAGACGTACACCCTAGCAGCCGGAGGTCGCGAGGGGTGAGGCCCTGGCCCTTCGAGCGTGCCCCCGGCCCCTCGCGCCATCTTGAAGCCTCTGGAGACCCTCTGAGCCTCGCGAGGGGGGCTCTTGGAGCCGATGGGGCCCTCGGGGCCTCGCGAGCCCCTGGGGCCCCCTGGGGCCTCCTGGGGGCACCCTGGGCCAGGGGCACCCCTGGCGACCCCTGAAGCCTGTGCATGCAGTAGTCTGCGCGGTACTTCTCGAAGCAGCTGGCACCGTCCTCGGAGTAGCAGAAGTCTGGCCCGCACCACGGCTTCCTGCTGGCATGCGGGGCGGACTTGCCCTCCTCGGGGGATCACAGAGATACCGATACTGCCACTCCCCGGAACTCTCCCAGGGTGCGTTCTGACTAGAATCCTGCCAGCCCTCTGGGCGAAGGTGGTATAACGAGTTGTTTTCTTCCCTCTTCCAATCGGGGGCGCGCAAACATTGAGTAGCGATCCATGGATTTGGCGCGCGGTCGCCAAATCCACGGATCGGGGGAGGTACCCTCCCCAAAATGCGGCAGATGCCGCCTCGTTCGGCGGCGGAACTGCGCGATTTCCCACGGAAAGGGGGCCCGTCGCTAGTCCACGTCCCCTTGATCCATGTTTGCGATCGCCTGATCCAAATCCCCTACTCCCCCTGCTCGGAGGAGGGGTTGGCCGGGGGCGCACCCCGATGCTCTAGAAGGGGCGAGCTCCGAGGGGCGAGCGAGCTCCGAGGAGGCTCCGAGGAGGGGTTTTATACCCCCCCCCCGAGTTGGTATAACGAGTTGTTTCCTTCCCCCTTCCAAATCCCCTAGTTCCCCTCTGGGCGAAGGTGGTATGACGAGTTGTTTTCTTCCCTCTTCCAATTCGCCTACTTCCCCTGCTCGGGGGAGGGGTTGTACCCATACCACCCTCCCCTTGGTCTGGACAGGCCACCCCGCGACCCACTGGAGAGAACCCAAGACGGCTCCAAGATGGGCCCCAAGAGTGCTCCACGTAGCCCAAAATGGCCTCCAAGATGGCCCGTCCCAAGAGGGCTCCAGGTCGCGTTATTGTCCGCCTCTCATGGAGGGGGGAGGGCGAATAAGCCATCCCCCCGTCCTTTGAGCCATGGGGCGCAAAGTCGACCGAAGAGGGCCCCAGGACACCCCCAAGGAGCCCCAAGAGACACAAGAAGGCCCCAAGAGGGCCAAAAAGGCGTCCAAAGTTGATCCGACACTGTTCCGAGAGGTCTCCAATAGGCTTCCAAGAGGCTCGCGAAGCGCAAGCTCCTCGAAGGCTTTATGGTTGACTCGTCGTCGTCACCGTCGTCGCCTCCTTCCTCCCCCATCCTTCTGATTACTGGTTCTTCCTCGTCCTCCTTCTCCTCCTCCTCCTCCTCCTCCTCCTCCCCCTCCTCCTCCTCCTCCTCCTCCTCCTCCTCCTCCTCCACATCCTCATCCTAATCCTCATGTTCCACCTTCATTATCTTCCTCCTTCTCCCCGGTTTCTGTTCCTCCTCATTCCTCCCTTTTGTAAGATAGCGGCCACCCTGCCTCGAGGGGGCCCGAAGAGAGCTTAAGAGGGCCCCCGAAGACCCCAAGCTGGCCCAACGAGTCGTCCGATAAACTCGTAGAACAAATAAAAGAGTGCAGGCCTCCTCCACCCCGTACTCGCCTTCACGTCGGTTCTGGCAGAAGGTGAAATTCGATGTTCCACAGATCCGTCGGGGCGGAGAGGGTTCAACGATAACCTCAAGAAGGCCCCCAGAAGACCCCAATAAAGCCGCCGTGGCACGGGGAAAAATGTTAAAACATTCCAAATAATTTCTGGCCGTTTCTGCGCCCCCGACACGCTGTTCCACTGCATGCCTCTATGCTTCCCTGATTCGGGCAACTCGCCTGACGATCGTTTCTGGATGGGCTGGCGGGGATGCGCAAAGCGTCAGGAATCTCGAGGCGGATCCGGACGTGGCGACGAGGGCCTCCCGGGAGGCCCAGCAAGGTGAAAGGCACGGGAATCGTAGCGGCGTCCGGGCCTTTCCCTCCTCTGACTCCTGGCCGCGTCTCTCCGCGCCCGCGCCGGGGGCCCCGTACCTGACTACCTACCAGACCACCCCAACCCAACCCGAAGACCCGAATTTCGGGTTGGGGGGGGTAAGGGTTCCACATGTTTTTTCGATGTTTCCCGACCCCCCCTCCACTGGAAATCGAGGGTAAATCTGAGCCTTCGGGTTGGGTTGGGGTGGTTTGGTGGGTGGTGAGTACCGGTGCTCCTCCTCCGTCTGCCGCTCTTGCTGGCGGGCCACCTCGTCCTTGCCCGTGCTGCCCGCGGCGGCGGCGCCCGCCGCCGTGGACGCCGGCACGGCCAGCAGCGCGAGGGCGAGCAGCCCCGCGGGCCCTCCCAGGCAGGCCACCATCGCTGGGGCCGCGCCCTCCCAGGCGAGGCGGCGCCCCTGGGCCAAGCTGCCACGGAGCTCCGCGTCCTACCCCTAGAGAAGGAAGGCGGCTTGAGTCGTTGATCTGCTTGCTTCCGTCGCGTTCGGTTTTTCGCCCGGCTTGGGCCTCCAGGGGCCGTTTTCGGGCTCCCAGACCGTCAGGAACAAACCCAGGATGAAAAACTATCCCCAGGGAAGTCGCCCAGACGATTCTTCGGCACAACCTGCAAAGGGGCGGTCTTTCGGCGGTCTTCTGACGGACTTCGGCAGTCTTGGGCGATCTTCTGACGGTCTTCGGCCGTCTTCGGCGGCCTTCGGCGGTCTTTGGTGGTCTTTGGCGGTTTTCAGCGGTCGTCGGCGCGATAGCTAGGCAGTTGCGTTCAACCAAGGGCTCATGATCAAACACGTGCCGTTTCCTATAGATGCTTGTGGACCCTCCTGGACAACATCGATTGACTACTGGCTGATTTTGAAGACCCTACCTTGAGCCAGATAAGTGACAGAGGATGAGCCAGAGAGGCGCGTGGAGGTGGCGGTACTCCCCCGACGGCCCCGAGAACCCACGGAGGCACCCTGGACGACCCCTGGAGACCGCCTGGAGGCCCTCAAATCCAAAGGCCACTCGACTAGCTGGCGATATCCGAGCCCTGCCCCCACCAACCATCGATTCTCCCGAATCAATAGGAGGCGGGGGCAGGGTTCGGATTTCGCCACGTGCTCGACGAGATACCACATTGGGACCCTGAGATCCAACGTTGCGGGAAACAAGGCAACATCACGAGAAATCTGGACTGGAGCCCTAGACCCAATCTTTCTGCGGCAGTTTTCGAGCCCGATCGATCTATGATGGCCCCAGGGCCTGATACCCCGAGAAAATGCCGCGTAAAAAAACTGAACCGGCCACTGTGAGAAAAATGCCTGTGTTTTTTTCCCGATCTGCGGTTCCAGAGGTCCAGGCCGCTTCCCCCAGGGGGTAACCCTGGATCCATTTCTGATGGCCCCAGGGCCCGATCACGGCTCCCTGAGGGCCCAAATCGACGAAAACCGGATGTGTTTAAAAGATCATGTCGTCGGAGATCGGTGTACCCTCTTGGCCCGCATGCCTGCCCGATCGGCCTGTGATGGCTCGGGGGCCCTGAGCCTGGCGAGAACGCCCAGCATAAAAAAATGGCAACGCCCGGATCTCGTTATGGGCTGTGTGGCAGCAGGAGCAGCGGTAGATGCTTTTAGGCCTTGAGCCATATTGCGAAAACGGATGACAGTGCACACGGACCTCTCCCCTGGGCTCCTCGCACGGCCCTACACAATCCCAAACCTATAAACGACAAAACCAACATGGTTTCCACACAGGTCAAGCTTTCTAGTAGGCTTAGCAAGCTAATGCGTCCCGCGAGCACAGTGTCCTCACACTGCTCTCTTCCGCAGGTCAGAGGTAGCTTCACCTCTGGCGCGACAAGACTGGAACAGCACGGGCAAAACGAATTACTGCGAACAAGGGAGGAGGAGAGAGAAGGAGGGCATTAGGGGGTTCCCGGTTCCGACGAAGAGACATCCTCACGGTCGACGAAGGAGCTCCACGATATCTGTTATTTAGCCCGAGCAATGGCCCCAGCGGAGGCGGTTTGGGAACGACCCTTGCCCTTCGGATCGGCGCGTCTGTCGACTAGCTCGTTAGCCTCGTCGACCAGCAGCAATTTTCCGGAGGCCATCAGATCAAACAAAGCCGAGCTCAATTTGGATATGGCATTTTTTGTTAATGGGCCAACGGGCATCTTAGTGCGTAGTATCCATCGCCATACTCCCGAAGACTTTCCCACATAATCGCATGCTCTTGCCAGGTCCAAGGCTGCGCGACGGTCTCTGGCAGTTGCCAGACCGTCTTTGGCTAGCGAGTCGTACACACTCTTAGCGTCTACCGCATGCACTTGTCTCTCTGTCCCAGACGGCATTCTTGGCGCAACGCTGTGATAAACGGAGAAGTCGATCTAGAACATCCAGGAACATCTATATCCCGGCACACCGCATCCCTAAACAGTACCTCCAGGAACTCGGCTTCGGCCACTGCCCCAGGCGAGCGCAAAGAGTTTCCCCCGCGAGAGTCAAGGGGGCACGACGACGCAACTTGGATGACCTCCATCCCAGCAGAGAGGCCCGGACCGCTTTGTTGTCCAGCACCTGACGGTCCGCGGGAAGAACCATCCAGGCCCCGTGGGTCGGATGTTTCAAACGGCTCGCCAGAATCGATGCGACCCCTGCTGCCTCTGGTCGAGCCCCCCGCCCCACCCAATTGATCTCGTAGATCAGGGGCCGCAAACTTTTGAGCCCCGAGGTTTCGAATGGGGCGCTTCGGCGAGACAGTCTTCCTGGGGAGAGACTCAGAAGTCTCAGGTCCACTAGGATGCATGTCTCTGGGCCCACGATAAATCTAGAGAGGCTGCAAGTCAGTCGGCGCCCGGCGCATTCTACTGGCCCGGCCTGGAGGTCGCAATATTTTCCACACCGGAAGCGAGATTCGAGCATTTTTCGGGCGGCGGCCCTGATCTCGGCGCCCATGGACGCGATGCAGAGATCATCCACTTCTACCAGAACCATGCTCTCGATCGTTCCCCTCTTGTCTCGCTTGGTCCACCAGCAGGGCTCCAGAAGGCAGCGACGGCAGCCCCTCTCGGTGAGAAAATTCGTTACCGTGCGTCTCCATTATGCTGGAGCATCGCCTAGACCGCACACGCGCGCCAACAACTCGACCAGAGACCCCTCCTCGACCCCCGCATCCGTGACACGGCTCCACATGCAAAGGACCATTAACTCGTTGCATGGGATCGGACTGGGTAAATGCGTTCTTCGCGTCAGCGATATCCCCCAACATGTTGAAAGTCATCATCACTTGCACGAACATCATCATCGCAGTTATTTGTGGGGTGGGGGAAAGCACCGTTAAAGATCCAGTGTCTGGGTCTTCATGGCCATGAACTCACCAACGAGATTTCGCAATAGGCTCTGCGAATGTTCCTTCCTGCGGCGCCCATCTTCGGACCATCCTGGAAGACGCGATCCCCCCCGGGATCGCCTCTCGAATCTTCTGGCATGGGAAGGGGGCATGATCCTGACGGCCCCGGAACCCGCCGTATCATTCCACTCGGGCGCCCGAGATGTCAAAGTTTGACCTTTCAGCAGGCGCGAGCTTTGACCAGGCGATTCCCCCCCCCCGGCCTGCGGCAAAAAACCTCCTCAAACTCCTGAACCTCCTCGAGACACACGGCCCCTTGGCATCAGGAACAACACAGAAAGAGGTCAGGTCGGCGTCTCCCCTACGTGGAGATCGCTCGCGGTCAAAGTGCCTGTCCGAGGATCTGCCCAACCTCTCCTCGATCTCCTGGACGCGCTCAGACAGTTGGCGGCGTTCCTCGGAGCTTGATCCCGGAGAATTTCTGGACCCCCTGCTCGGGGGCAGCGCTGGAGCTGGGTTCTACAGCTTGGGCTGGAACAAGGCCAGGGGCAGGCAACCCAGGCGGCGGCGCGATCCGGGGTTGTTTGGCGCCCGAAGATTCCGAGAGCTCGCCCTCCTCGCGGCTGGCTGCGGCGGAACTTGCCTCGGCCCGGGCTCGTTGGATGCAGCCTGGTACGTCGTCTGTTTGCTGAAGCTTCAGCCGAACCGCTCGGGGACTTGGCACGCTGGGCCCGTCGCTCTGGTCCTCAGGATTTCGAATGGACTCCGGCTCTGGCTGCGAAATGTCGCCTGCCCCAATCTCCCCCCTGGAAAACTGCTCAGAATCCGACGCCCCAATCGACGGACTCGGAGGCGTCGCCGGAATCCCTTCTTCGGAGATGGAGGGCAAGCGAGTGGGGGGCTGATCTGACACTGACCCGACTGATCCTGCGGAGTGCCTCGGGGCCTTGTCTGGCCACGCCCTTGGGCAGGCGACTGGGGCGCTTGGGCCGGGACTCACTCCCAAGAAGATCCGGCGGTCCGCAGAGCCCCCCTCGACTCGATCCTGAGAAACGGCGGCGGATGGGGAAGCATAGAGTTGGAAGTCCCCCCGCATGACCAGGGCGATCCGAAGCCTCATCGGGGGGTGGCCCCTCCCTTCGGACATCTATCGCCACAGCTCTCCCCTGTCTGACCTGCGTCATCAACTCCGTCCATTGCGGGCCCCTTGCCAGCTGCAAACCGCATTCTTCTTCGGCGGACGCCGGCCTGACCTGGCCCGTGGAACACATCCAAAGTCTCGATCGCATCGCGACCCAGTCAGCGCCGCCCTCCCGGAGCATGACAACTCCTGGGCCTGTCCAGGCGTCGCGACGGACTCCGATGGACTCCGACCTGAAAGCGGCCCTGGCCAGGCGTCTCCACGCGAAAACGCACTGCTCAAGAGCGAAGCTTTTCACCGGAGGCCCCTTGGACCTGGTCGTTTTCTGGACGCGTTCCCGGGCCGTGTTTCCCATCGCCAGCTATCTCTCACGCGTTGAGATCTGGCGAACTCGGCCCCGCCGCATCCCGTTCCGGGGGCGATTTCAACACTTCCTGCCATCCTGGCAGACCTAGACCGTCGCCCGACAGCAGCTCGCGTGGAAGGCGCGGGTTGCACCCGAACACTACTTGCATCGGCCAGAACCCCCCCGGTGCCAAAACCTGTCTTGATGGGTCGCGAGCTCGCTCAAGAGAGAAGCGAATTCGTCGAGGTCAGAGGGCGGGTCCGAACCAGAATCGGTTTCACCCTGGAGACCAAACCTGATCCACCCCCCATGTCTCTCGGCTCTTCCGTTCCGCCACGAACTGCTGGCGCCCACAAAAGGATACAGAAGCCCCCAGTGCTCCACGCCTCGAGAACATCTGTCACGGAACTCGGGACCCCCGTCGGCGGCAACGAATCCATGCCATACCCTTACCGCTTTGGCATCTGGCAGACACACGTAGATTTGCAAATTCGACCCGCGGTCAACGATGTTCAGGACAGGGCATAACGCCTCGGCGAACCAGATGTGGAATAGATCCACTCCTAGTATGTGGTTGAAACGAAAGGTTCGAGGAAGCGCCACTCTGCGATGATGGTCGGGCCCCTTTCTTTCAGCGCACTCGGGGCAGCGGAAGGAGCCCCGAATGTATTCAAGCACCCGAATCTTGGCCCCGCCCGCTCGCAGGACCCGGATGAATTTCCTGCTGTCGGGGCGCCCCACATTGGCGTGAAGCTCAGCCACCAAGCGACGGGCAAATTCGATGGCTTCTGACCCATCGTCCCACTGACTTCCGCGATGGGCGCCGTGCTGGCCTCGTCTCTGGCTCGTCGAGATCGGATCCCAACTCCCTCTCCCAGGTCCTCACCTTCGGAAAACCCGGGGCCATCGAGGGAGAGTTGGGCTCCGGAGCTCTCGAGCAAATCCGGGGACGAGACCGGCGCGGGCTGTCTCGACCCTTCCGGCGTCTCCAGGATCGATCGCTCGGGCCACGGCCCTCACAAACTTCAGGAGATACACCCGCGCTTTCCAAAGAAGTTGGTTCGGACAAATCACACGTCTGTTTCCTCCTAGGCGAATAATGCGTCCTCCCAGAGCGCTCTGAATCCCCGATGGATTGTGGGGGTGCCTATTGAAGGTCGAACGTGCACGCGCCCATGCTGAGCTCGCGCGCCCTGGCAGCTGAGCCACCAGCCCTGCCGCTTCAGACATCCAGGATGTAGCACAGCACGGGCGTTCGAACGCGAAGGATATACCGCGCCTGGCCTGGAGCACAGCAATCTCCACACTGAACAGAAAAGCCCCCGCCCTTTCTGAGACCATCAGATCGCGTTTCTCCGGAGACATCCGAGAAAGATCGTTGCTGTTCAAGGCAGGCTGAAAAGGCTCTGCGCTCCGGGCTGGGCCACAACTTCCCGCTCGTCCTCGCACATCGCGTTCCAGAACTCACGGATCGCATCCGGCCCCCGAAGGCCCCGACCGAGAGCCCGGTCGAAACTCACGCGCGCCCCCAACGGAAGCCACCTTCGCGAGAGCTCTGGTCCTATTCTGGGAGGAACTTAAAAAATTGCGGCGCGGCCCCTTCGGATTCTTCGGGAGGGCCCCCATTGAGTTCCCTGGCCCCATCTCAGGACTGGCGGCCCAGGTCTCGCCTTCCC